TTCTTCCTCTCTATCCAGGATCTCCTACATCCCTTCCAAGTGGATGACAGTGGTAGCTGGGCACCATCTAGTTCTTCTGGTCTCATAGTTGTATAGGTTGCAGATCGGATGGTGTACCAGTCGCTAGGACTGATTGTTTCCATTAATTTTGGTTTTCTTCTTTCTTCTTGACGAGGAGAGACCCATCGTTGCATCTAGATGGCAGCTTGCTAGCTTTTAAGATCCCAGTTGCTTGTAGTTACATATTATTAAGGCGCTCTGGTGGCACAGTGCCTAAAGCATTATACTGCTAATCAGGTTAGCCATTCAAATCCACCTGGTGCTCCGCAGAAGGAAGATGGGGCAGCCTACTTCCATAAAGATTTATTGCCTTGGAAACCCAAAGGGGGTTGCTGTGAATCTGAATCTACTCAATGGCAATAGGTTCTGGTATTATGTACTATCTTATCATGTTTAGATCCCTAGGGGAGCAGTGGTTAAGCACTTAGCTGCTAACCAAAAGTTTGGCGGTTCAAATCCACCAGTTGCACTATAGGAGAAGGATGTGACAATCTGCTTCCATAAAGATTACAGCCATAGAAACCCTGTAGTTCCATGTTTTCTATACACTTACAGGGTCACTATGAGTCAGAATCAACTTGGTGGCAGGCAACAACAACAACAATTATGTTGTATTTATTAGTGTATTTAGAAGTGTTTAAGTCTTTTACATATAGAAAAAGGTAAAATATATACTATGTAGTAAAACAAACATTTGACTGTTTGACAGTAAATAACTGTATATACCTATTCTGACTTTCTACAAATTGAACTTAAAACAGATTTAGGAGTAGATCTTAGGAACTTCCTATATAGCAACAGATACACTTCAGTATCTACTAGCAGAGACAGTGAGTGTTCTTTAAAGACATGTGGTTGTCTGTTGTTGTTATGTGCCATCAAGTTGTCTCCAACTCATAGTGACCTTATGTACAACAGAACAAAACACTGCCCAGTGCTGTGCTAGCCTGACAATCCTTGTTATACCTGAGCCTATTGCTGCAGTCACTGTGTCAATCCATTTTGTTGAGAGAGGGCCTTCCCCTCTTCCATTGATGCTCCACTTTACCAAGCGTGACATCCTTCTCAAGAGAATGTTCGGTTCTGACAACATAACTAAAGTAGGTGAGACAAAGTCTGGCCATGCTTGCTTCCAAGGAGCTTTCCACCTGGCCTTCTTGCAGAACAAATTTGTTAGTTCTTTTAGCAGTCCACAGTACTTTCAGCATTTTTCACCAATGCCACAACTCAAAAGCATCAGCTCTTCTTTGGTCTTCCTTATTCATTGTCCAGCTTTCACATGCAAATGACAAAAAGAAACCAAACTCACTGCCATCGAGTTGATTCAACTAATAGCGACCCTTCCTTGGGTTTCCAAGGCGGTATCTCTACATAAGTAGATTGCCCAATCTTCCTTCCAAGGAGTGCTGGTGGGTTTCAACCACCAACCTTCTGGTTAGCAGTCAAGTGCCTTAGGCACTATGCCACATATGCATATGAGGCAATTGAAAATCCCATGGCTTGGGTTAGGCGCATCTTAGTCTTCAAGGAGGTATCTTTGCTCTTCGGTACTTGAAAGAGGTCTTTTGCAATAGATTTGCCCAGTGCAATACATCTTTTGATGTCTTGACTGCTGCTTCATTGGTGTTGATTATAGAACCAAGTAATATGAAGTCTTTGACAACTTCAGTCTTTTCTCCATTTATCATGATGCTGCTTATTAGTCCAGTTGTGAGGATTTTGTTTTCTTTATATTGAGGTGTAATCCATACTGCAGACTGGAGTCTTTAATCTTCATCAGTAAGTGCTCCAAGTCATCTTCATTTTCAGCAAGCAAAATTGTGTCATCTGCATATCTCAGGTTGTTAATAAGCCTTCCTCCAATCCTGATGCCACATTTTTCTTCATATAGTCTACCTTCTCGGATTATTTGTTCAGCTTACTGATTGAATAACTATGGTGAAAGGATACAACCCTGACGCACTCCCTTCTTGATTTTATACCATGCAGTATCCCCTTGTTCTGTTTGAACAACAGCCTCCTGGTGTATGTACAGGTTCCTCATGACTACAATTAAGTGTCCTGGAATTCCCATTCTTCTAAATGTTATCCACAATTTGTTATGATCCACACAATTGAATGCTTTTGCATAGTCTATAAAACACAAATAAACATCTTTCTGGTATTCTTTGCTTTGAGCCAAGATCCATCTGACATCAGCTATGATATCCCTCTCTGCATGTCCCCTTCTGAATCCAACTTGCATTTTTGGAAGTTCTCTCAATATACTGCTGCAACCGATTTTGAAGTATCTTCAGTGAGATTTTACTTGCATGTGATATCAATGATATTGTTTAATTAGTTCCACATTTTGTGGGATCACCTTTCTTTGGAATGGGTACAAACATGAATCTCTCCCAGTTAGTTGTCCAGGTAGCTGTCTTCCAAATCTCTTGGCATAGATGAGTGAGTGCCTTCAGTGGGGCATCCATTAGTTGAAACATCTTTTTGGGTATTCCGTCAATTCCTGGAGCTTTGTTTTTTTGCCAGTTCCTTCAGTGCAGCTTTGACTTCTTTCTTCAGTACCATTGGTTCTTGATCATATGCCACCTCCTGAAATGGATGAAGATCTACCAGTTCTTTTTGGTACAGTGACTCTGTGTATTTGTGTATTTTTTCCATCATCTTTTGATGTTTCCTGCATCATTAAATATTTTGCTCATAGACTCTTTCAATATTGCAGCTTGAAAAATGTTCTTCCCTTTTGGTTTTCTTATTCCATATCTTTGCACATGTCATTATAATTGACTTTCTCTTCTCGAGCTCCTCTTTGAAATCTTCTGTTCAGCTCTTTTGTCCTGTCGATTCTCCCATTTGCTTTAGCTACTTTCCGTTCACGGGCAAGTTTCAGAGTCTCTTCTGACATCCATTTTGGTCTTTTCTTCCTTTCCTGTCTTTTTAATGACCTTTTGCTTTCTTCATGGATGATGTTTTTGACATCATCCCACAATTTCTCTGGTTTCGGTCATTGGTGTTCAATGCATCAAATCTATTATTTAGATGGTCTCTAAATTGAGGCGGGATATAATCAAGGTCTTATTTTGGTTCTCATGGACTTTTAATTTTCTTCAGCTTCAGCTTGAATTTGCATATGAGCAGTTGATGGTCTGTTCCACAATCAGCTCCTGGCCTTGTTCTGGCACACACATACATATAAACTGTCAAAATACTTCCCATTTTTCCCATTGTTCATGATCCATTTTGGTTTTTCTTACAAATGTCTGAACCCACAGCATCCTGAGAGGTGTATTAAGGGGTTTAAATTTGGATAACAAACACCATTACAGTATGACTGACTTTTAGTTGCAAAATTTCAGGTGACTAGCTTCACTTGCTAGGTGTATAATAGCAAACTGTGTTTTTGATTTTTCCACTCAAGAAGCGCTGTCTCCTGCACTGGGAACAGGCTCATTGTATATTTCCTCCATTTAATTAGTAATGTTTCAAGTCCTTGATACAATTGGTGTTCTGGGAAGCTACTCAGCTGACTTGTTCGTTAATCTGTCTATGCTTATTCCACCTATCCAAAGTTATTATTAATTTACGTTATACAAATGAACAATCTGTAGCTCCTAGTTTTGATATGCCAAGGCCTTTTAGTGTGGTATAAAAATGGTTTGAACTATTTCTGCTTGATTCCAAAGTCCTTCTTCTTTCTACGACTTGAAAATACCATTTAAAAAAAAAAAAAGATAAGCCAATGATTTTATTTGATTTTAAGGAATGATATAATTTGTAATGAAGTGTTTCCTATATTTTGAACATTTTATTAGAAGGGATAACTTTAAGTAATATTAAATCTAAGTACCCATTACATAAACAAGCTGACTAAAACCATATAACCATAGACTCGATTATATAACACCGACTATCATGGTGCATCTTTCACTTTTAACAGTTTTTAACTTGTATTATCTTCATCTTTGGCAACCACATTTTAGCAGGGTTCTTACTGGAATTAATAATGAAAGGGAAAACACTAAAGCCAATGATCAAGAAAAAAAAATAGTATTTAATAGATTATTAGCAGAAAACTTACTTAAGGTAACTTTTAAATACGTATTTTTCTCCTTTGAAAGTATACTAAAAGCCTTAAAGAATGTATGATATGACCTGTGGAGTTAGAATTATATGTATTAAGCACAGTAAATTTTTTTTTTTTAAGGATATATATATATATATATGTATAAAACATTATATTTTCTACTAAAATTGAACAAGCCATTAAGATTGTTACAATTAACCTTTGCAGTAATAATTTTAAACAAATACATTGTACAGCAAGGCCAGAAACAGTCATGGTAGGAAAATTTCATATTCAACCATATTCATAGTTAAGTAAGTTAAAACACACTTAGACTTTTTGTTTATTTCTCATTCCCCATAGGAGTTACACAACTAAGTGAAGGAACTTCCTGGCTGCATTTTGAACAACTTTTTTTTTTTCCTTTTACCACAAATGCAGCCCTTAAATGATTTCCCTTAAGAGCACAGCTTTTGCAGGCAATCGTGCAAATAAATTACATTAAAGAGAAACTATACATTATAGCACCAGACAAATCTAGAAACGGACAGGTCAACAGACAAGAAGAAAGAAAATTAAGCACACATACGCTCTTTCTCTAAAATGTCAATGTCATGCTAGTTTTACTGATGCATTGATTTTCATAAAGTGCTACAGATTAAATAAATAAGATGAAAAAAGTTGCAGTTCTGAGAGTAAGATAAATTACTGATTGTATTCTTTATAGCCTCTTATTTGTGATCATTGTAGCATACATTAAAAGTGTAATGACCCAGGTACAAATTTATTTTCCGTAGGTCAGGCCAGCATTAAGAAGTATATAATTATGCAGGCTTATTCTATAACATAGGGGTAGACTAAAAGGAAAATGTATGTGCTATAGACTAAATCCAGATATGGTCAGGTGCTGAGCATTATTTCTGGCTTCAAAATAGGATGTATCTGTTTCATCAACTGGTTGGGGTATGAAAGGCATAGTTTGATGCTGCAGATTTTCCCAGTCCACATCACTGAAGAGAGCATGATGTTTCAGCTCTTAGGAAAAAAATAAAATATGACATCATTACCTAAGTATTGCTTTACAGGAATTAAAGAGACTTATTGCTTGTCCTACTTTATTATATCACGGTTTTAAACATTCATTGTCTGTCTGTCTCATAGATGACGTACTTCATAAAGGCACACATTGTATTGTTTTGTATTATCTTGCACCGGAAAGGTGGTTGGTTTGTATTTGTCAAATATGTGAATGAATGATTTGCCTTAACAGAAGCCTGGCTTTCTCACTGCCTGTGACTTATCACACAATTCCTGAGTCATTGAGAGATGAGTTTGGCCTACTTCTTGCTCCAAGGCAGCTTCCTTATCACTGTTGTTGGGTGCCTTCAATTCTGCCTCATGGTGACCCCATGTGACAGGAGTTTAGAACTGCCCCATAGGGTTTTCTTGGCTATAATCTTTATGGAAGCAGATTGCTAGGTCTTTCTCTTGGGGGACCACTGAGTGGGTGTGAACTACCAACCTTTCCGTTAGCAACCCAGCATTTAACTGGTGTGCCACCAGGGTTCCTTTTCTTATATTAATCTTCCATAATTACTGCTCCATTCCTCATTCCAGTTCTTTCCACCTGTTTATATCATTGCAATCCTTAGCATTATTTATTGCCCTTGATAACTTTGGCTTGAAGCCCATTTTCTGCTCCCTTATTTACTTCACACTGTGTGATCCTTATCCTTCATGGTGATTTCAGCATATGCATTGATGACCTTTCTGACAGATTCTCATGTTCTTTGACTTCCTTGATTTCACTGGCTTAAATCTCTACAACACACTGACTACTATGTAGCAGTGTCCATATCCTGAATCTTGATATCACAGTACTACTCCACTTAAAAGATCTCAAACTTTGCTCACCTATTTAACTACATTTTTGTCACCTTTCATCTTTATTTCTTTCTGTTTCTGAAGTGAAAATACACTCTTTGACCACCCCAACTACCCAACCAAAACGAATACCATCATGTTAATTCCCACTTATAGTGACCCTTTAGGGCACAGCAGAACTGCCCTATAGGGTTTCCAAGGCTAGAAATCTTTATGGAAGCAAACTTGCTTCATCTTTCTTCTGTAGAATAGCTTGTGGGTTCAAAATACCGACCTTTTGGTTAGCAGCTGAATGCTTAATCACTACACCACCACAGCTCCTCAGTCTTTGATCATACTGTGCTATTTAGGTGCCAGGCATAACCCCTCAATCTTTAATCCTTCATAAGGAAATACTAAAGATTCATGGGAGGCAAACTAACTTCTCAGTCAGCAAACAATGAAGGGACAATTAAGGCAGTAAACAGCTGAAGAAGAAATAAGCAAATTTAAGGAAAATATTGGGAGAAGGTCACACAGATAGGAAGGAATTGTGTGTGTATGTATTGGAGATCAATATCATATTTCTAAACTGGTTTTTCACTAAAGTAAGAGACTGACAGGAAAGGGGATAAAAATAGCAATAATAACTCACATTCAGAGAATTCATTTTTCTCTTAACAATTATTCAAAATAAGTAACTCAGCACAAATTACTTTACAATAGAGGTTCTCCACTGGGATGATTTTGCCCCAAAAGACATTTGGCCATGTCTAGAGACATTTTTGCTTGTCACAACTGAGGGAAGGTGCTGGAATCTATGGGGCAGAGGCCAGGGATGCTGCTAAACATATTAAAATTAACAGGCCAGCTTCCCACTTATATTAGTAAAGAAAAACATTCTTATCAACGGCATCTCAAAAACATTTTTTTTTATGAACTATTTACAAAGTGAAGCAGATGATGGGGTATTCTTCAGTTTTTTTTAAAAAATACAATAGTTACTTCAATACTCAAACTAAATTAGAATTCTTTCGTGGATATATTTAAATAGAAATTAATAAAGTTATGATGAGAGGACCATGCAGTTCCCCATCACATCTAAATATCTTAGTTTAAGAGTTACTACAAGTGTTTTGCCTCATCATACATACCTGCCAGCTGAAAAATTTGAAAATCATTCCAACATGTATCGAAGCCCATCAGAATATCACTATAGACTGAAACTTTTCGAGTTCTTGAAACTATTGCTAGCATGAATTAAGTTTTAGATATTATCCTTAACTTTGTCTAATTTTTCCCTCCTAAAAGTTGAAAATTGTTTTTGCTTAAAATATACTTCATGCTAATATAATCCTTTTTTTCAACCAAGCGAGTCACAAGGTAAACCACTGATTGTCTAGAGTCCTGTTGATAATGGATTTTACTCAGTTTGAGAGTGCTTAAGTGAGAATATCCTTAAGGCAGTGTCTAACATACAACAGATATTCCACATAAATATTAGATTGAGGAATGAGAAAGAATGGAAGGTTTTAATAAAGATTTCCTCTATTTATTGGTGGCTAATTTTATCAGACTTTTTCTGACTTAGACATCAGAAATGTCTAAGATTGACAAGATAAGATTGTTTCAGGTAACTTTCTTGAGATTGATAAATTTCAATGTATGATATTGCAAATTGACTGCATTGAATTTTAATGTAGAATAAGAACAACTACTACAATGCATACCTATAAGATAGCAATAAACTGATTTACCTTTTTAGCAGTTTATCAGTTATATTATCTGTAATGCTAAGAGTCGTATATGATACTGTTATTAATAACTATCTCTTAGAACAAATCAAGGGCAAAAGAGTTCATTAATACAATACCTTACCTTTAATTCCAGCCCTCTTTTTATCATCAGTGGTTAAAAGTATATCTACTGCACTTTGAGCATTATCAGATAGCTTTTCTTCACCTTCTGGCCAAGGGATATCTACAAATATGAATATACAAATAAGCTTATTAATCATTGCTCAAAATAATAATATACAGATATAAATGATAAATTTATCTTAACAGGAGAGAAACAATCACCTCTTTTCAGAATATTCTGGAATACTTGTTGTGGTGTTTCATCATTGAAGGGGGGAATTCCTGTTAGAAATTCAAACAAGCAAACTCCAAGTGCCCACCAGTCTACTGCAGGACCTGGAATTTAAGAGGAAGTAGCAGAACTTGCAGACATTTTCTGCAAATGTTTCATCAAATAAAACATTCACTGTGTTAATGTTAATCATATCTGTGCATAATCAAGGCATTCATTTCTTATGCTTTCTTCTGGTGTGTACCTGTTGCCATCAAGTCAATTCTAACTCATAATGATCCTCTTGAAGAACTGCCCCAGAGACCGCCTCATATTTCTTTCACAAAACAGCTAGTGGGTTTGAACTGCCGACCTTTTGGTTAATAGTTCAGCATTTAACCACTGTACCATCAGGGCTCCTCTCTGCTATTATAAGGTACAAAAACCCAAATTACCTTCATTTAGCAATGTTGTCACTACCTTCCTTCTCTATTTTCCAAGAAGTTTGGATTAGCAACTACCACTGCTAGGTAAAGAAAAATTAAAGCCGTCATTTCCATTTATTAATAATTTCTGATATTCTAAGGAGCTCTGGTGGTATAGTGGTTAAGGCATTTGTTTGTTAACCAAAAGGTTGGTGGTTCAAACCCACCAGCCACTCTGTGGAAGAAAGATAAGGCATTCTGCTTCTGTGAAGATTTATGGTCCTGGAAACTCAGTGGGGTCACTGTGAGTCAGAATTCAATTAATAGCAGTGAGTTTGATTTGATTTTGGTCTGATACTCTAGATTCTCTTATATGCTCTACATCCTAAAATGCAACTGAAAAATACAATTATCCTAAAGATTATTCTCTAAAATACTTGACTACTTCTCTTAAAATGATTGTTTTCAATTTGTTACATATAATGGATAAGATGAGGTAACAACATTTATACTAATTAGAGGACATCCTGGCACTATGAAGTCCTTACTCACAGAGCATTTTTAGAACATCAATAAATTCTCACTTAAACCATGCTTGTAGAAATAATTAGGAGTCAAGTTTTAATAAAAAGAGAAATCTGATTTCTAATAACATCTTTATTGGAAGCATCATTTATATACAAAGATGTTTCTAATTATTTTAAATATGACCCTATAATCTGGTTTATACTTTTGATTAGTTCTGTGAGAAAGTGTTTCCTAAGCAAAGATTAATTTCAATGAAAAAATGGTTATGTTCAACACAAATTTAGATGAGGTTCTAGTATAATGTTAATATTGTCTTAAAAATTACAATTTCAAAAAATTCATTATTGTGATGTAGTAACTGCCACTGCCTATTTTAAAACAAGTCAGCAAAGCATGATTAATTCCTTTGACAGTGAATAGAATCTGCTGATAGGAAAAAAATGGTTGCATGCATTAAGAGTACCTTTTTACTTGCAAGCCACATAATCCCATCCTCCCTTTAGGAAATATAAGATGCAAATAGTCTATAAGTAATCACTATAAAAATATAAAAGCCACCTCAGTTAGTAGACCTTTCAAGTAGCACTGAGGAAAGAATTATTCCACTGGATTATGCAAAGGCTTTGACTAAATAACAGAGGAAGTGGGTAGGAATCAGAGGAAAACATTTATTTTTACATATTTTACTTAAATTAGAAATGAGAACCCTTTTCCCAGCTCAGCCAAAGTATATTCAAGTCCAAAATATATGCCATTTCTCCATGGATATGTCACACATACCCATATACTTGACTCAAAGTCTAATAAGATCACATATTTTGATCAATCTTACTAACTGTAACACATAATATTAGCCATAGAAATTGAACAGATATATTTTCCACTACTGAATTTCAAATTTAAACCCACTTCTGTAATCTGTAGTGATAGACTGATCCTGTTATACTTTTACATTTTCTTAAAGGAATTAAATGGTTGAGAAAATTTGAGATCTTATGTAATTACTAATTTTAGTATTTTTATCAAGCCTATTTCTTCTGTTGCAATAAAGAAGCAATAGCATCATTCTCTAATATCCTTAAAAGTTATAAAAAATTTCACATGTCTACATTGCTTCTCTTAGAGAAGATCAACCTTTCTGCATTGTCTTCTTGCCTAGAAGACAGAAGACAGTTCTGTATTTCATAATATAGATGAAAAGGAAAAAAGTATTTTTTTTTTCCTGCAATGTGATCTAGTTATACTTTGACAGTTTAGTTTAATATACTTTGTCATATTACTTAATAGAGAAGCTCACTTACCCGAAGTCAGAAATCCTGCATATAAGAAAAAATTTGTTAGGGGTTTTATATTAAAATTATGATTACATTCTCACATCATTCATTGAACTAGGTGCCCAGGTATTATGCCCAGTATCAGGGGTACCAAGATGAATAATAAAAAGATACTTTTCTAAGGAGAAAACAGCATGCACTGGGAGATACAAACAGACAATAACTCATTTTTAAAAGCCAAAACAAAAAAAGGCACAGAAGCTATGGGAACTCAGGACAGAGTACCTAAGCCAGCTTGGCTGAGGCTAGACCATGAAAAGCATCAGAGAGGAAGTTATGTTTAAGCTTCAGCCTGAAAGAAATTAGGAGGTGGCTAGGCAAAGTAGGAGAAAGCATTGCAGACCAGAGAAAAGCAGAAGCAAAGCCACAGAGGCAAGACACAATAAGATGTATCTAAGAAAATGCATGTAGGGTTCTGTGATTAGAATTTTGGTTGCATATAAGGGGTTAAGAAGAGAAGAGTCTAGAATGTCAGGGAACCAGATGGAAAAAAAGCTGAGAAATCAAGTCAGGAGTATAAGAGGCTGCAGAGGTATACTTGATTCAGTGTTTTCTTTTTTTAAAAAAGATGGTACACCTGAGTGTGATATATATGAGGAAAGGAGTTGAGAGACTACATGTGCATCTTCCATATTAGGTCAAAAGTTAATGTCTAACCTAAAATATTATAAATATGTATGTTGTTTTTGTTATGTGCCGTCGAGTCGGACCCAACTCATAGCGAACTCTCCTTTGGTTTCAGAGGCAGTATCACTAAGGAAGTAGATTGCCCCATCTTCCTTCCAAGGAGTGGCTGGTGGGTTTGAACCTCCAGTGTTCTGGTTAGTAGTCAAGTGCCTTAGGCACTGTGCTACCAGAGCTCCTATAAATACTGTGTGTGTGTGTGTGTGTGTGTGTATATATGAATAAATAGCAGTACATAAGCATGTTATTTATTTAGAAATATAAAAGACCTAAGAGTTGAAAGGGAGCTCTGGTAGCATAGTGGCTAAGGCACTTGACTGTTAACCAGAAGGCTGGTTCTCGGAAGGAAGCTGGGGAATCTACTTCCATAGTGATACTGCTTCGGAAACCCAAGGAGGGGTCGCTATGAGTTGGGGATGACTCGACGGCACATAACAACAACAACAAAGAGGTGAAAGTGACTGTCCCTGGTGGGTACAAATTGTAGAAAGTAGTAGAGGATGGGGACTTGCTATTGTTTTTTTAAATAAATTGTGTTGTACTATTTGTTGTCTCAAAAACTTCCTATCAAATTATTTTTATAGAAAATAAAAATTTAAAAATCTACGACTAGGTATCCAAGGTAACTTTGTCCCATGAAAATAGAGACAAGATTCTATAAAGTCAATCTGTAAATTTGAAGCTTACTTTTATGTTGTTATTATCATTATATGCTGTTTCACAGAGAACCTATGTATAACAGAATGAAACACTACCTGGGCCTGTGCCATCCTCACAATTGTTGCTATGTTTTTCGTATCATATTGTAAGTTAGACAGGATATAAACTATAGAAAATGAGCAGGCTTTTATTAGAACTGAGCTCTTCACTGGCAACTCTGTGACTTTGCAAAGGAGCACTATAAAAAAATCAGTTAAGTGCCCATAAGAACTTCGCTGCTTTGGGAGTTCCGGCAAGATGGCGGACTAGGCAGGACTGCACAGACCCTCTTCAACAAAGAAAAGGGAAAGCAATTAACACAGACACAGAAGATAATCTTGG